GTACGAACGCGCACAACTAGACGTGGCTATTCGATCCCGACTCTTAACCATTGTTACCAGCTGCTGGATCAGATACTGTCATGTCGATGTCTCATATCCAATCAGCATGTAGAGAACTCACATACCACCGATCCAGTCGAGAACTACCCAATTTACCGCTTCGCAAGGTGTATGAATAAGTGTGAGCCGCCGCATGAAAAGCTGGTATAGATCTTTCTAATTCTGCTATCTCCATGGCATCTCCAAAGAAATCGCTAAGCTGAGCCCGGCCGAGAAGCCGTCTGAGCGCCAACGAGCCATATCTGCCTGGTAGCGAGGTTAAAGATGGGTAAGTCGCATAGCTAACGTGCAGTTGAAAACACCTCCCATGAACACTGATCCATCGTACCCCATAAGAAGATGTAGTAGCTGATCGAAAAGCGCATCTACTGTAGACTCATCGTGTGGAGATTATACGTTGACCACAATATCGGGGTCATCCATGATTGTTGTTCGAACAGGTATCCAATGCGGTGTCCAATGACTCGAAAGTCACAAATCTAGTTCCGTGATGTATAAGTATGCGTTTTATAATATAACAACGCCCATACGAGGGTGAACAGACTCTGTTCACAGCTCGAATTCGGGCTTGTTTACTGGTCCCCGTGTAGTGGTGTTCAGGTTGTCCAGAGTTGCCAATATTGACCCGATTTTGTTTGTTAAAGAACCAAGTCAATGATATCCGTGTTCACGCTGTCTGAAGTGACCAAAACACTCAGCGCATCGTTTTGAACGTTTGAGAACCCCACAAAATTCTGCGAATGGAGATTAATGCTATTTCGCGCGTACGCCGTGATGTCTTTAACATTAGGCAACGACGACGTCGGTGGCAGCCGGCCGTGTTAAGTTGAATAAGTGAAATTCCAGTTCTTTCGATTAAACGAAGTTGCCTTACGGGATCCACAATCTGACAGAAAACGGCAAGAACGTGAATTTGCCGTCAAAATTAGAGAAGAATCGGAAATAGAGAGAGAAAGCCAGGGAGAGGAAACAGACGCAGCAGGCCGACAAATGGGAGTCAGACGTGCAAGAATTGATGAAAGAAGAGCTCGAGGACGATGCGGTGCTGCTGCGACAGGATAAGCAAAACCATGGAATTCCTAGAGAGTCGGACCTTGTTGCACCGCAGTATTTTATCATGAAGTCCAAGAACAGACGGACGCGAAATTGTCATACTTCGGTTGCAAATGCTGGCGAATGGATATGCTTACAAATCCGATGTTGCTCGTATGTTGTCAGCTGCTACGCGGAACGAGGACAATCCGACTGTCGCACGCACAGTCCAAACGCAACTACTGCAAGGCTGGCTATATAGGGGCAATTCTTAGACGATGTTTGACAAAGTATCATGACCCTTCCTTTTGCTAACCGTATAGAGAGTAAAACTATGTAAACCTTTGCGGATCCAATGGACGCCTTCATAGGTTTGCTCAACAGAAGGCGATAGGTTTGTTCAACAAAAGCAAAAGTCCTATAGGACAAGTAGAACCGTCGGTGTACATATCGGAAGCAATGGGGATGGACGTAATTATGCGCCCATGCTCTTTTCGCAAAAGAGATGGGTCAAGATGTCTCAAAACTTCAGCGCATAATACTCGAAGCCTGGTATGTACTCAATCTTACGGCGAACTATTTGTAAAGTTGTCTCTTTGACAAGCTCGGCTCGGGCGCCACATATTATACGAGCCAAATGGTGACGGTGTAACGGCGCACGCTCTCACTAGATAACTTTTCTGACCTTGTGTTTATATAAAACAAGGCTCTGTACTCCCGACGTCACGTACACGTGGAGCGAGGAAGAGAGAGGAAAAAAACAGAGCTAGAGAAGCTTTGTTTAAGGGAAAAAGTAGAACTGTTATTAATTTAGCTAAGTTTCCTATTATACCATCTTTGTTTTTATATAACAAAATTCAACTACAATTTTTTATGTGGATTTTTTTGCTCGCCACCCATTGCGCGCGTCTAGCAGCGATAGGTGGTTAAATTATTTGATGTACCGTGTACATCGACCAAGAAGTGGAGCACCCACGAATATTACTCTCGGGGGTAACATTCTGGCAACATTCCCTCTATTCGAGTAATGTTGATAGAATATCATCGAAATGAAAAATATTACGAAATTGATACATTCGTATCAAATTTATAAAACAAGCTCATCCCGTTACAGACGGAGTACGCTAAGTTCTTCCAGTTAAAGCGTAGAGCTGAAGGTGAACTTGTGGCGGTTTCCAAACTCAACTAAAACACCAGTCAATACTGAAGACGGTACGTTTGTCAATATAGTGCAGACGCATTGGCTGCTTGAGCACTAACAAAGGAGCAACGTGAGTGAAGTACTGAGTGATGGCTGGCTGGATGTGTGTGCGTGCTCTTATGTGAACAGAATGCATCTCCCTCTGTCCAAGTACAATCAAATTCTCATTACCGCTGCACACGAAGAATAGTGCCAACATGTCTTCGCCATCGAGCTAGGCCTACACGTGGTGATGGTCTGCTTTTACAATTCCTTAGTCCTTTCCACCTGGAAAGGTCTATGCACCTCCTTATGTTGTGCAAATGTGTTCTTTCAGACACCAGTAGAATAATAAGTCGCGTCAAGCCAATAAGCCATAATGAACGTGTTCTCCTTCAACCTGTTTGCCCCACCGTTCGATTTATTGCTGCTTCTTCGTGTGCTTGTGCATGTAATACAGCTCATTTGTGATGATCTTGAGCTCGACGTACCAGCATGCGAAATACATTTATATACTAGAGGAGCACAACCGACTCCAAGTATCGCAATCGCTGCTCATCTCTTGTTTGTATGAATAGAGAGGTTCCGGTACAAAGTTGACAGCGAAACTTGCTCAAGAATCGCAATTGCATAGTATACGAAGTGCAAAAGTTGCAGAACGAGCGTCTTCCACAACTCATCAATCCTTCTTGCAGCCGTTTTACGATACTCGTACAACCGCATGGATTGATCGGTAAGATGTCCACTACGTCTGTAACTTTTGTAAGAAACGCACAATCAAACTTGTCTGCAGTCCCTCCGTGAACGCGTGGAAGATGCATGCCAAGTTGTCGATACGAGCGACATTCCGATCTCGAGGTAGCGATGCTAATGCTGCACGGCAGCGGAAGACCGATGTATGCTCTGCTCTATTGCAGCGACTCACTTTATTTGCTTCATATTGTTTCGGTTCAAGCTCAGTGTTTGCACCTTGATTGCCAATTGAGACAGAGTAAAGCAATGCAAGTCACGGACGGCATAACGTTTCTACCAGCGTGACCACGACTGACCTCGTTCTCGACTCGATATCTGTTGTAGTGATCACGGCCACGCAAAAGCTGTCGCTAAAAACTTGGCCGAGCCACATCGTGTCCAAACTGGGGATAGATCGCCTGGTCTCCATGTTTCAGTAAGTCAGGACTTGCCTTGTGATCGTCTCGACGTGCAAAATGTATGTATATCATCCGCAGGACAATTCTTCGATGAAGTCGTGAAGGACTGTGTTTGCAGCAAGGAGCACGTCCGTTTCGGCTCTTCAAGACTGCGTCATTGGGCCGATAACAAGATAAAGAGCAGACGGATGCTTTGATCTTGATCTTGATGATAAGGGGGTCTACGACTGCTGGTCAACAGTTGACTGTAGGATGGAAGTCGTTATGACTTCGTATGTGGAAATTGCATCACGTCACGCCTTGCTACATCAGAGATCTGCCATGACTCTTTGTTCGTGACACGGGTCAAATCAAGATACCCACCTAACGAGACAAGTCGAATCTACCACACCAATAGCGGATTTGCCAGCAATTGTTATTGTACCGCATCAATTCGTGGCTACGGCGCCAGCGATGCCATCATAAGGTGCCAGCGTGAACAATCCTGTTCAGATATTCTGCGATAGACTCATTCTCTCTGCAATCGGTGGTACCCCAGAGTGACTCGGTAAACTCTTTCCAAAAAAAGTCGCGCACCTCGATGTGCAAACGCGTCGTTGACTTGCTGCTATAAGCTGTTGACATGCGTCACGGAAAAGAGGTGCGTCCATGAACAAGTGAAGAAACTGAATACACTCAGTAAGCGTCCAAAACTGCGGCTTATGTTACGAGAAGGATTGCTAGACTTTCATGCATTTTTACTTCTGCGAGGCACAAAGGTTTGAGAGCTCGCGTCTGATTCCTTTCTGACTTGGAGTGGAGCTACTCACGTGTACGAAGATGATAGACGAGAAGGGAGCTGCTTCCAGCAAAACTGGACACTATAAACAATGTCAGTCAGTGTCAATCTCTCATCGACTGACTCGACGTAAGTGGCTCTCAAACAGACTTGCCAAGTTCATCACAATGTGTGCGCGTGCAATTTACAATAACGGAGTTCGCTAAGACAATCGTCGAAGCCGTGCATCATGACATTGGTGTACCGATGCCAACACATCGAAGCTACGAGAGCTCGAGGTTGTGGCGATTGTCATGGACACACAACTCTCATCTGCAATTGCTAGCACATTACGTGCCACGAGTTGAGACATCGAATTCTCTCGGTTGTCGCAACAAAGACCAATGAACGCAAGACGGGTGGCACAGCTGTGCTTTGCATGGCAAACGTTAACACACTTGATATTCAAACGAGACACATGCGCTTACGCACAAGGCACAATGTCACCTTCTCAACTCTAAGCACCCACACAGCGTACACGAGGCATCGGTAGCACCAAATAGAGCAGCTTTTCCCCGACATTCACTGAATCAGCCTGATTCACCACGTCAATGACATCCAGGTACTCTGTTCTTTCCAGTCCACAGCAAGACAAGCAACCGACCCCACGCCACCAACTGACCGACCACTGAGCTTGCCAACACCCCACTTCGCCATGTCCATCCAGACTTCTTCTTCTCCTTCTTCTGCATTGCATCTTCGAGACCAATAGAAGACCCAACGAAAGCAGGAACGAACAGAAGAGCCTCTCCCTCGTCTCCTAAATCACGCCCGCTTCGTTCTTGAGCTTGTCCACGAGTTCGTCGACGCTCGCGACCTTGACCCCGGCTTTACGGGACGCTGGGTCCTTCACTTCCACCACGTCAATACGGGGCGTCACGTCCACGTCAAGACTCTCGGCGGTCAGCGTCTCAATTGGTTTCTTCTTGGCCTTCATAATGTTCGGCAGTGTCGCGTAGCGCGGCTCATTGAGCCGGAGGTCCGCTGTCACGACTGCAGGCAGCTGAAGCTCGAGCGTCTCGACACCGGCATCGGTTTCGCGCGTCACCGACAGCACTGCATCGCTCTCAACAACCACTTTGGAGGCAAACGTGGCTTGACTCCAGTCCAATAGCCCCGCGAGCAGCGGTCCCGTCTGGGCGGCATCCGCGTCGATGCTCTGCTTGCCACAGAGCACGAGCTGCGCGTCCTCTTTGTGGACGATCTGCTGCAGCAATTTGGCGACGGCCAGCGGCTGAAGCTCCTGATCCGTGCGGAGGTCCGTGAGGATGTGGACCCCGCGGTCGGCGCCCATAGCGAGCGCTGTGCGGAGCGTTTCTTGGCTCTGCTTAGGGCCAATGGACACGACGACCACTTCGGTGGCTTTCTGCTGCTCTTTGAGGCGGATGGCCTCTTCGACAGCGATTTCGCAGAAGGGGTTCATGCTCATTTTGACGTTCTTGAGGTCGACTCCAGAAGGTGCGACGCGGATCTTGACGGCGTAGTCGACCACGCGCTTGATGGGGACGAGGACCTTCATGACTGATGGACAGAGAGAGAGAGAGAGAGGGACACAGACGATTAAAGTGGGGGGTGGGGGGTATGTACGTACGGAGAGGGGGGGCGTTGGAAGATACTTTGGGGGGTGAGGAACGCCTGAAATTCCGAGGAACGAGTTGAACTGTGTCGAGTTTGATGTGGGGGGCGGGCAGAGGGAGGAGTGGGACACTTGAAGACGGACGACACGAGGCGGAAAAAGCGGAATCGGACGTTTGGACGTTGTGGGAGTGGCGAGAGGGAGAGGGGGAGAGAGAGACTGTAGGACTTTATATTGTCACTGGGTCGGGTTTGGGGGTGTGGCTGGCAGCAAGTGGAGATGCAGTTTTGAGGGAGTGCGACGTTGTTTTTTGTGATTGTGTCGATAAGTACGAATCGCACACTTGCGCTTAAGTTCATGCACACTCTGCTGCGGAGAACGGCCCGAGGTGGTCATCTTTATTTCATCTTATTTTTCGATAAATGACCAAATCTGATGCGAAAAAAGGTGTACCTTTATATGCATTCGAGGTTGACAATCCTGCTGTCTTTCGTCGCACTACCGTGGAATAGCCACATGTGCGTACATGCGATGTACATACCGCGCGTTTTGCATAATGAGCGACGGCTACGCAGTGCGTAAATCGCTACAAATGATGCAAATCCGCCGAATAAGTGGCTGGCTGTACGGGCTGGTCAAGCCGAAACCGGTGTGTGAAGAAGCTAGAGCCACATGCAAAGAGGATGACAAGCAACAACCAAAATATACGGCCAGAACGGAAGAGAGACGTGTTCTACCGAGACCGTTGCAACAATTGTGCTCGTTTCTTCATTATTTTAAACGGAAATAACAACTTCCGGCGCACCGAGGCACTTCAGGAATAGCAGGATAGCTGTAGATCATGTAAGTTGGACCATCTACACAACGGCGCCTGAGAAGTAGCGATATCTCCAGAGAGTAGAAAAGAATGTTAAATGAACAGTTGACGATGCCGATTGCAGGCTTATAGCTCGCTAGCAGCAGTCATCGGCGCATGAGCTGAGTCGATACGTGGCCTGTGATGGGGACGAAGAATACCGTCACCTGCTTGAAAGGCATAGCCATTTGTGGCTGACAAGGATTGGTCTGTGTTGGCGCTTTGTCTGTGACCCAGCGAGACGGTAGCACAAGGTACGTTTAAGGTGTGTGGTATTGACTTGTGTTAACATGTTCGATCATTCGCTAGTCGAACAGCAGTCTAATTAGGCATTTTTTACGTGTGCACCCGAAAAATTAAGTAAGATCATAGCCTTGTTCACTTCCTTTATATAATTCTCTTTTGAGCTTTCATTGCACACAAATGATATGCTCGCTCTGCACTTCAAATGCATTTGAACTCCCGCAAGTATAGATATGAAGCATCGAGATTGACATGAAGCGACACATGTCATCTTTTTATTATTTTACAGAACAAAGATGGGCACGCAGGAGGTAAAATGAGTACTAAGTCGATATGCGGATTCCTACACATCCTGGCCAAACCAACGTATAGTCATGTAACGGGGCACGCTCTTGTCCGATGACTGGCAAGACCGAAAGTTAACTAAACACAAGGATGCGTGCTCCCGACGTCATGTACACGTGGATACGAAACGCAACCGAAGCAAACAGAACCCGTAAGCTCTATCTGAGGTAGAGCTGTGTTTAACATAGTTATATTTCTCAAAAATTTTAATCTTTGCCTTATATATCTGTATCAAACTACAATCTCCTATATGGGTTACTTGCTCACCACCCATTGAGCGCGTCTAGCGGCAATCGGTGGTAAATTTGGCTGATGGACCGTGTTCATCAACCAAGAAGTGGAGCACCCACGAATTATACCCTCGGGGGTAATATTCCGCCAACATTACCTTTCGTCGAGTAATGTTAATTGAATATTATCTAAACAGATAAATTTCAATATTTGATACATTCGTACCAATTTTTGTGTAACGGGCTCACCCTGTTACAAGCCACGTACGGAGCAATGTAGACTTCAACGAAGCTTCACTGCTTTATATGTTGATATATCTCAAGATAGCTTCGACCGAGTTGCGTGAGGTTAACACATCATTTTGTAGCTCTCACTACATGTAAGGTCAGTGTTCGACCAGTTGACACGCATCTTGTCTACTGCAACGTCAATGCTTGCGCACACTAGTGCTACCGGTAGATCATTCAGTTACACATGTCCCATTACAGCAACGATACATACGTTACTTAGCTGCTATAATATAAGCGAAGAAAACTTCGCACAGTAATTCTTTATAGGTAGAACTTACTCTGTCTCATATGAACAGCCGCGTATATCATTCGCGCGAGTGCAATGCCTGATATCAGTAGGCTTTATCATAGCCCACTGTTAAGCATCCATCTCTTTTGTTTCGATTTTCTAGCTTCTGCAGACATATCGATAGCACTACTTCGCCCGGAACGTTGTAGTACTTCTTGTGTCGTCAGTATTGCGTCTACGGTCATAAGCTTCTGTTGAAAAAATTTCATTCGAGATCTGGGCGTCTACGTTCAATATCGCCTGTTGAAAATGCATCCGAGATCTGGTACGAAGTCGTGATTGAAATAGGAGTGAAGACACAAAAAATATGGTTGATTGTAGACTAACACGCTGCACGTCCAGTGTTTGTTCAGGAACTTATCAGCACGAAGGCGAACCATTGTGTCGCATCGGTCGCCATATGATCCATAAGAGGTATGTGGATGTGATAAGTCGCAAAACTGCATATTGTGAACTATTTTACGTAACAATGTAGCTTACTGATTGCTGTCACGCGTCAAAATACGTGGAATGCGTGCGTTTTGTTTAAAAGGCGTGAACAATTTGCGTGAAGTCCGCGTAGATCCTCTGCTGTCTCAGCGTTCAATGACTAGCAGTATCTTTTACGTTTAGTGGGGACGTAAACGGGATAAGAATGTGCTAGATAATTTAAGCATTACATACTTTCTCGTTGCATTTGTCGCGTATGCAAGCTAACATCTATATGCAGGTATAGTTCATTGTTAATTTGTAAGCTCTTTAAGGCATCGAAGAGCCGCGCACATTACTGTTCTGACTAAATACGACTTTAGAGCCACGCCGGCTTGAGACCGATGAGGGAGGCACTGGGCCACAAAGTGCAATTAGCAACTACCAATTCGTGGCTATTGTAATGAAAATTCATTTCGTCTATTTTCAAGGTAATTTTAGCAACATGTCTGAAGGGACCTAAACCAGTATACGAGCGCCGGGGTAGCTTATCCTGACTTAAATCTGGTGAAATTCAGCGTTCCGTTAAAGGTTTCAATAAATGAATTCATGACAGGTATGGAGACAAACCTTTATAATTGCCGTACCCGTGGACCGTATGTTCTCGGAAAGAGATTGTCGCCAGCTATCACAGACCACATCGCCAAATTGATGACGCGCGTTGCGCCGGATAAGAGGTCTCCTCGTGCAATATCACCATAAGCGCACCACACACAGAAGGCTTTAGCGCACAGAGTGTAAAAAAGGTGTGTCAAAAATAATTCTTCTGCGGCCATTGGTCATTCCAAGAACAATTATTAAGGAAAGCATGCAATTTTGTGGAAGCGATAAGGCACTACGATAGGCGCAATGCCGAATGTTCTTTGAGCACGCAATTTTTTGGACTTTCTCACGAGGCGATGACAAATCTAGAGCTCCAGCAGGCATTAGAGGCTAAACAATTCGGGAGTACATGACTAACAATATCATTGCATACCTAGAAGGCTCGATTTTTCTCCAGCTAGTGGCATCTGAGAGGATAAATGACATACACTCAGCTATTTGATTGAAATTTTGTACCCTGTCCGCACTATATACTCAGTGAGACTGTTCGCGTGCTGGACCTCACAAAGCCTGTTCGGCGCCGATGCTGCATCTATCGCTCCGACCGCGTCGATTTTCGAAGCGGGATAGCCATTAGTGCAGTGCCGGACAAAGCTGACATGATTCATATTTAAAAGTTTGACGTCGAAATAAAACGTTGACGATGACCGGTACTTGTTCTCTCAATCTGGATAGTCGTAGGTAACCTTTTCAAAGGGCCGGATGGGCTGAAATGACAAGTCACCGTGAGATACTGTGATCACAATCAGCGTTCTTGCTTTATGAAGGAGCAATTTGGCCTGGTGGTTCGCCCCGCAGAAAACCTGTGGTATATTGTCCCATTGAAAGCCTTGTGGGGCGCCGGCTAAGAAGCGAGATAGTTACCTGTGCGGAAAATAGTCGTGTTAGTTTTTACGAGCGAAACGTTGTTCGAGCGTTCTTGATCAGATGTATATGGCTTGTCACCGAGATTGTTAAATGAAAAGTGAGCTGTATTCTGCAGAGATTTGCGATTCGAAACCAATAGCTGTCAGAAGCCAATGGCTCTCAGCCACCGATGCTACCTGTCCTTTCTCCTACTTGACTTTTAGTCCTACTATCGAGTAATTGCTTCTTCTCAGATATCTGTCGTAAAAACCCCGTTTATCCAGAATGGTATAATCTGTACCTATTACAGACCTGCCCAAACCGAAGCTCGAACCTGCAGTAACCATCGTGGTAACACCCTTGGTAGACAACTGAGCCATATCGCCTTCTTCTTGATGGTAAGAATCTAAAACACAATAAACCTACTATAACTCCAAATATACAATATATACCTTACACACGTCGCCGCAACATCACTTGCTAACACCCTCCGTTGATGTGTGTGTGAAGTGTGCATGCCTACACCGACAAGTTTAAACTCGTGAAAAACGTTCAGTGCTTGTCCTTTAAAAGTGACTTCGTAAATGCATCTGCAATCATCTCTTCGGTCGACTTGTATTCCAGTGCAATGACCTCGTCCAGCACCTTTTTGCGTAAGAAGTGTAACTTGATATCGATGTGTTTAGTCCTCGCGTGATACACCTGGTTATTTGCCAATACTAAGCATCCTTTATTGTCTTGAAAGATTATTGTTGCCGCTTGATCGGTGTAT